TTAAATGGTCTTGCGGATATTCATGAGTGAATATGATGGATACCGGATCTATTATCGAGGTTTTGGTCTTCACGGAGAGCTCCTCCGGGGCAATTTGATATTTATTCACTGACGGTATTTCGGTTTGAATTTCGAAAAGGACCAACTGTTTTTCTAACAGTTATCCCATTCTCGTAATTTGTTTAAACGATTTCCTGGTGAAAACTGGCGGTTCGGTATGTCCGATAAATTTTCCATGAGAGTGTTAATTAGTCATAAGGTGTATTAAATTTTAATCTTTAAATTAAATAAAATATTTATTTAATTTGTTAATTTTTTATTTTTGTTGCTGATAAATCCCATATAAATGAGAAATATCAATATTTAGTTCAAGTTTAAGAGTAAGAATTCAGGAGAAAGGCTTTCCTTGTAAATAAAAACAGTCAAATACTCGGTGACTAGATAATCCATATCAATACCCCCTCGAATGAATCGAACCCTCAAAAATAAAGAAATCCGATGACACAATAAATCCCCCATTCCCTCGATTTCCTTCCGTCTCCTCGACTTGAGATCCGGAAGTGACTCTCGGGTATTTTCCCATTCCCTCATCGCACCCTTCAAGTTCTCCCAAGAAGAGTGTCTCCCCCATCCAATCTTTGATTCGTCTCTGAAACCACAGAAGACCGATAAAAAGGGCCTTCGCTTTCTCCAAGGTTGATCAACAGATCACAAGACAACGTTCGAACCCTCTCTTTAAACTTCACCCTTTTTTTTTTCCCCCTGTCAGACGACAAGGAGGGATGAGTAAAGAAAGTGCAAACATCGTGGGAAAAGCTGGAAAGGGGATGAATTTTCTCAGCTCCCCCTTTCAAGATCTCCCCCTGGCGATGGTTTTCTCGGTGGTGTGAGAGCCGACCTGTTGATCTTGAGAAGTTTTTCGTAAGAAAGCCCTCAAGGGGTTGAGGGCTTCCTTACGAGCTGCCCTCACTCATCCCCAATCTTCTCGGTCATCAAGAATCTACTTGTTGCGCGGTTTCGTGAGACCCTGTCCCGGGTGAGGAAATTGTTTCTCAAGGCTTTTTTTTTTCATACCACCCTGGTGAATGCCTCCAGTCACGCGACGATAAAGTCGTTTGTTTTGGATGCAATTTTTTCAGTTCTACCCTGGAACGGTAATTGAATCATTCCGCACTCATTTCTACACACGTGAAAATTATTCTTGTTAATAAAATTACATTTTTTTTAAATTTAAATTTACAGGAAAATTGATAAGAACCGATGAGAGGGTTCCCATCATGATTCAGGGTCGAGTACAATAGGTCACGTGGCGGAATCTAATAATCGAGTTTCTCCTTACATTATTTTTTTCAGCATTTCCTTTTTTTTTCTCAACGTACCCCGGGGCGAGGACAATGGGATGGGTGCGAGGGGTTGATTGAATGGAATGAAGAATCAACCGATGCGTCAACTGGTGTTTTTTTTTTTTTTTCAAGGCGGCATTAAATGTTTGATTACATCCAGTTGTTATCGTACGTGGGCGGTCCAAGTGCGTATCAAGCACGTGGCCGACGAAGACGCCCCCCTGATTGCTAGCCCGGTCTCAAAGTTCTTATCGACAACGAGGAGAGCACAGAAGGATGATAAAGTGTATTTATCGCGTCAACAAGTTGCTCGTGGTGATAGTGGGTGGGTGGGTTTTCTGTCTTGGGACGCCTCGATGGAAGCAGATGGCAACTTTCTCAAGTGCTGTTAACCAAGGTGTGCGCAACAAGTGGCTTCTTACGTCTCTAGCATCTTCAGGAGATTCAACAAGTTGAAATCAGTCACGTACGGAAAAACTTTGGTGAAATATTCACGGAGTATTCGGTTCGCTATTCGAAATTTCTCCGATTTTTCTCCTGGTTTCAATTATTTAAATCCGGAATTTAATGTTTATTCCAAATTTTTTGGAAATCTCATATTTATGATCAATGGATCCTCAAATAAAAAAAAATTGTAATCGGAATATTTTTTCCAAATTTTAAAAAAATTTATAGAAAACTTTTCAGAAAATTTTTCTTATGAAACAGAAAAAAATTAGAAAACAAATCGATTTTATTTTTGTTAAAAACTTGTCAACAATTTGAATAGGGAATTTTTTTTTATAATTTAGATGGCGTTTGTTTTTTAAATATTGAAAAATCAAAAAGGGAAAAAATTATATTCGCAAAAATTTCTAAAAAATTATTAAAAAAATTTTTCGAAACAAATTTTTAGAAAATTTGGAAAAAATATTCCGATTACAATTTTTTTTTACCCGAGTCATTGATTGTTGTTATTGAATTTCATTTATCACTTCTTCAATTAATAAACAATCAGTTGAGAATCCATTGACAAATATTTTATCATTAATAAAATAAGTAAATATTTTATCATTAATATTCACATCGTCATGTAGCAATCGTTCATTCGAAAAATTCAATGTACGTGATTTCGTTATTAATTCACTAGTAACGGTTAATTATTCATCTATGTATTTATTTTTATTATGCCTGCCTGCATTTTCAAATCAATTGGACAATAAATTGATCTGTGGTGTTGCGACCGATTGGAGAATTTTCAATCATCGAGGGCATGAGATAATATCGAATCGAAGGAAGTGATATTCGATTTTCCAACCCCTCGTGATTTTCCAACGTCGCAAGGGGGTGAAATGGTTGATGTGTAATCACCGATTTGAACTTCATTGAAATGATTTACAATTTCAATTGAATCAATTATCGGAAATGCTCACTCGACCTCGATTTTTATATTCTTCTCATTAATTTCCTTTTACTAAATTATTTATTTGAAAACCGCAAATTTTTTGACAACCAATGAATTTAATTGACATTGACCTTCGTTAAGAAGAGGCAATTTTTACCATTTCGTCGTAGGAAATAATAACGTTGAGACATTTTTTCCTGTGGGTGATTATTGCCGACGAAACGGAATATTGGAAATTTATGGAATAGCCCTGAAGTAATCCATTAAAACCAAAGAACTTGTCATTGGATTTGGCACCCCTGGTGAAATTTTTTTCCTAAGATGATTGCGTCTGGGGTTCACCCTCGACCCGAAGATCGTTCTGTTTGGTTTTATTGGGTTATGCCAGATCGTCGATGGCTTTGTTCCACCATCTGTCGCATGTAACCCCTTGGAATCGTCAATTCTCAATGTTTTCATCCCCTGAAAGTTTGATTTGATCGTCATTTTAATCGGCGGCGCAGGCGTGAGGACCAGACATGCATACGATACACAAAAATACGATTCAGATCGAAGAGATAGCAGTTGGAGAGAGTCCGAGTAAAAAATGTGTATCGGGTATTGATTCTGGTTGTTTTTTATTTTTTGTCACTGCATAGTTGGACTTTTGCCCCATCCCCGGTGCTGTAAGGCAATGTATACGAGACAGGGGACAGTTTATTAATCTAGACTCGATCCAACGTCCGACGAAAGAGGAATAACTCTCTCCTACCGTTCATCCAATGCGCTTTATGCGATTCTGTTGTTTTTTTTTTTACTTGTGTTTATGGATTTGCATTGATGTACTGGTTTGTCTCGTTTGAATTCTGGGATAATGACGGATTGGAGATTTGAGTTATTGAGTGATTTAATTTATTCGGTTAAGGGACAGTCAATGACGCGGAAAGGAAATTGTTATTTATAGATGCAAAAGATAATGCGCGGCATAAATTGTTTTGTGATTAATTATTAAATTAATCGGGAATTTCAGGTTTCAATGGAAAAATTGGATGCCCCGACCGAGGGGTGAAACTAATAAAAAAATTATTTAATGCACCCCAATTATTTACCGTATCTCCATTTTTGCGATAAACTCTTTAACTCAATCTCAAAATCACTCAGCATTTTCGCCATTTATAATTGTGATAATTTTAAAATGAAATTTTCCTGTGGCCCTCAAATTGCCGAAAGTCCCGAAAAAGCGTCGCGAAAATTTTCAACCCAACAAATTGTTAGTAGTCTTCCCCAAAGGGAGGAAATAAACAGCGAAAGGATGAAAGGAGCGACTAATACATCACAAACTTAAAGACAAAGAGGCGGATGTCGTTGTCCCCGAAACTTTGCCTATCCGTTAAGTCTTGCCCGTTGAGAACAGTCTCAGATCCTGCGCTCATTACCCCCCATCCACCCTTATCCTCCAACCCCTTCGCGTCACCGACCCGCGATTTCAATTGCTCATGCATATTATCGAGACACGATGACAAACCACCAAAACTTTCCCAAAAACCGGTGACTCGTCTGAAAACTACGACCTTACCCAAGGAAGGAGCACCCCCGAGTGGGAGTTAATCGATCACGTGAGGGGGTGAATTAAAAAAAATCCACTCTTTTTTTTTCGTCACGTGAGTTGGCAGAATGAGGGGGAATGTGGGGGGTGGCGAGGGAG